TCATGCTCAGGGCTCATCCTCTGTGGGGGCTTCTCAGAACCCGGGGACCATCCCTGGGACCGGTCCCTTGGCACGCTCCTGAGCTCCAATGGCTCCAAGAGCATCTTCCCAGGGGCTCCTTGGTGCTGTGATTTATGGCAACAGGGGTGTGGGCCTCCAGCAGCCTTGTGCTGGGCTCCCGCTGCTGGCCAGGTTCTCCATGTGTTTGAGTTGGAGGTGTCCTGGGCAGGGAGCTTGTTCCTGTCTGGAACTGAATATTCTCAGGCACGTTGCACCCGTTTCCTCATCGCATGGCAGCTCGGATGCGGCACTGGCTGAGGGCTGAGCTGTCAGTTAGGGCTCGCCCTGCCTGCAAAGTGCAAGGAACTTTGTGTGAGGGATAATAAATCCCAGCTCATCCAGTGCCGTGCTGAATGCTGAAAATGAAGCACTTAAACCACAGCAGCGCAGTCAAATTGCTGGTGGAAATCTCTTCATGTTGGCAGTGGAGCCAGTGGGTCTTTGATCTCCCCAGCTCAGATGTTGCTGCTAAAGAGACTTAAGCTTAAACTTCGCTTTCTAAAATAGACTTTTTTGACAGTTTATTTTAAGAAATAATCTCCTCCTAAGCTGGGGAAGCGGGAGGAATGGACAGCCCCATGATGAGATTTCCAAACCGAACAATGCAGGAAGGAGCCGCTTCCAAACGCTGCTGTTTCTTGGGTATGTGCTGTGGCTGCTCTGTGGAACCACGGGGGTGTAACTCGGGCTGGTTGTGCTCAGGCTCACCCTGGGAACTGGCTTTGCTGGTCTGGCACTGGTCATGGAGGTGGCAGGTTTGGCAGCAGTGGTGCTCGGGCCTCTGAGTGCTGTCCTGGGCACAGGGAGGTTCAAAGCCATGGCATGGGTGTGTTTGCTACTGGAAATCCCAGCAGGATCTCCCTGCCATCAGCACAGCGCTGGTTTTCTGTCCCCATGTATAAAGGGATCATAAAACTCCCTGGAAGAGCTCGCTCCTGAGGCCACTGATGAACCCGTCTCCTCCCCGAGCAGAGAGCAGTAAATCTCTCTATTAAGCTGTTGCTAACACATTAATGCTCCTCAGGTACCTCATAAAGATGCTGCGGGGCTGGATGGCTCTGAAGTGGTTCATAGAGGAGCAGTGTGGGCAGTGATGGATGCCTGGAGCCAGCACCGCTCCTGCTTCCCACAGCAGCATCCTCATCCACGGGTTTGTGTCCTCCATGAACGAGAGCCCTGGGGTGCAGGAGGGGAGCCCCCATCCTCTGCCCAGCACCCACTGGTAGAGATGGGCTCGTGAGCAGCTTCACGCCTGTGGGGCTGGGTGGCCGTGGCGCGTCTCTGCCCTGCAGTGCTGAAACCATTCGGGTTTCACTTGTGCTTCGGGCAATGCAGGACCTGGCTGCAGAAACCACCACAGAAAAGCCAGGGCTGCAGCTTTCCTGCCTGTGCCATAGGCAAAGGTAGGGACTGCAAGGAACCAGGACTGCAAGGAACCAGGACTGCAAGGAACCAGGACTGCAAGGAACCAGGACTGCAAGGAACCAGGACTGCAAGGAACCAGGACTGCAAGGAACCAGGACTGCAAGGAACCAGGACTGCAAGGAACCAGGACTGCAAGGAACCAGGACTGCAAGGAACCAGGACTGCAAGGAACCAGGACTGCAAGGAACCAGGACTGCAAGGAACCAGGACTGCAAGGAACCGGGACAGCTCAGTGTGGGCCATCAGGAGTGAGCAGCAGCCTGCGTTACCCCCTGCAGCTCTGCGCTGGCAGCAGCACAGCATCAGCTCGTGACCCCTGGCACTGCCTCCACCGGGAATGCGGCTCCATCGCACAAGTGATGTTAATGCCACCACCCTGTGTGTGCCTGGACACGATGCGGTGCCTTAGCTGCAGCTCCTCAAGAAGTTGAAGACCAGAAAAAAGCCACCTGCAGGTGTTAATGTTGGACAGCGAATAACTTCACATGGTGGGTGCTGGCTTGGCACGTGGCATTCCCTGTGTGCACCGGGGGGGGTGGTGAATGGGGCAGCTGGTGGCAGTCCCTCCATTTGACTGCCGGGCCCTGAAAGGCTGACCTAGAAACTTCCAAATCTTGGGACAGACAGAAGACTTCTTTATAAGAACATACAAAGATCAAACCACGGCATGTTTAAGCTGTTATTATGCAATAGAGAGCTCTTTTAAGTCGTGATTTGTAAAGACAGCTCAGATAATTTCCTGAAAGACATACTCATAATGATTAATTTAGAGTGTGTTTAATTCAAGTTAGAGAGATCAAAGAGAAAGCCTTTCCCCTGTAATGCTGTTTGTGGTTTTACACTTTCACCACGTTCTGTTGGACTCTGGGGGGGATGTGTCTGATCTGTCCTTTGCTGCGATATGTCTGCGTTAGAACTGCACAGAGAAGCAGTATGAAGATCTCTGTGTTCATCTGGGGCACGGGTAGGGAAAGGGGGATGAGCTGGGAACAAACCCCTCAGGCAAGGAGGGCACGATGTGGGCTCTCCTTGTGTGGCTGGGATGGTTCCTGCTTCTGCAGCTTCCTCTGGTGTTCCCATGGCTGTTCCCTGTAACAAACCTTCCCGAGTGTGAAAGCCCGGGGAGCCGGAGCAGGCTGGAGCCCAGTGCTGCAGGCGATGGGCAGCGTGCCTGTGCCTGCACTGCCTGCGGCACGCAGGGCCCCGGCTGCTGCAGCCAGATGTGCCGCCACCATTGGAGCAGGGCACGTGCTGCAGCAGCTGCGCCGGCCCCTGCAGCCCCTCAGGGCTGATGCAGGAGTGTGTCTTTATGCAACTACAAACCCATTTTGTGGTCAGGCGCTTTAACCTCTGCACTGTGTCAAGTGTTCAGGCTCCGAGGCGATCTTTACAAGGGGAAGGAAGCATCACTGTTTGTTACTGCTTCTCTATAATGCAGGAAGATGTCCTCTATTGCACAGAAGAGCTGATCTGGAAGGTTATTTTGTGCCCAACAGGAGAGCAAGTCTGGGGTGCTTGCTCTCCTGCTCACAAGATGCTGCTGCAGTTTCTCTTTCCTTAAGCCCTGTGTTGCTGCTTCAGTCCTCATTGAAAAATGAATGTTATCTAGTGAAAGAATGATAATTTGCTGTAGCTCAGGAAGAGGGACTCGGATTCTGGCAGGTTTCATTGCTCCTTCCCATTCTGTGCCCTTGTACCTGAGCCGGGCAGCGGCTGTTTGACAGGGATGGATGATCCATGCAGATGCTCCATTAGCCTATTAATAAAGCACAATCTAGGCCACCGTTTTCCAAGTTCAGCACCTAAATCTGTATTCAGGCTCATAAATGAGAGGCCTCATTTCCTGAGCAGCGGCGCCGTGCGCCTCCAACGGCTTTGTGCTTTGTGCTTTGTTCCTTGTCCCCGGGCATCTTGTTCCTCTGCAGGGTGGTCTCTGTGGGGCACCATCACCATTCCTGAGCGTGGGGCAGCCTGGACGTGGCTGTAGCCGTCCTACATGGCCACAACGCACCACAGCATCGTGGGGCTGGCGCACCCCTCCACCAGCGGGTCCGTGGCTGCAGGGCTGCAACAAATGCAGCTGAGCAGCATTAAGTGAGGCCAGCGTGCAGGGCAGGCTGCGGCTGGTGCAGCTGGAATGTGAGTTTCAGTATGTGAGTATGGGAATGGGAAAGGTTCATTTTCCCAGCGCTGGGTACATTGGCGCACGACAGGGTGAGGGGTGGGCTTTGCTCTCTGGCCTGGTGAGGAGGAATGGGGGATGCAGGAGAGCGGAGCAGGCAGAGGAGATGCCCAGCACCTGGGCTCGGTGCTGCGGGGCGATGTCCCCGGTGTGTGGCAGCACTTGCTGCCTGCAGCGAGCTCTCTTTGTTCATGGTCTCAGCATCTCCCCAGACCGGGGTGGGTCTGGCAGGACGCTGCCTGCACAGCTCCAGCCCATCTCCCAGCCGCGCTGCGCTGCCTCGGGACAAGCTCTCATGGCACCGCTCCCAGCCCAGTGCTGCTGCTTCACCCCCCTGTGCCCAGCACGGCTGCCTCGTGTCCCCGCTTCCACAACCAGGAGAGCTGCTTAAAACCTGGTAATAAATCCGGGTGAGTTGAGCTGAGCCAGGCAGGGGCTCACTGCGGTGCCCAGCCCGTGGCCATCCCCAGCCACAGGCTCTGCCAGCAGGCGTTTGGCTGCTCGGCTGCATTTCAACAGCAGGTCCAAAAGCCCACTAATGGTCTGTCTGGGCTGAGCCAGACAAGGTGAGCAGTGAGCCTTTCACTGCCGGGCTGCCAGGTCATACAATCACAGGATGGTTTGCACTGAAGGAACCTTAAAGCTCCTCCAGCTCCAACCCCTGCCAGGGGCAGGGACCCCTTCCACTGGAGCAGCTTGCTCCAAGCCCCTGTGTCCAACCTGGCCTTGAGCACTGCCAGGGATGGGGCAGCCACAGCTTCTCTGGGCACCCTGTGCCAGCGCCTCAGCACCCTCACAGGGAAGAGCTTCTGCCTAAGAGCTCATCTCATCTCCCCTCTGCAGGTTAAAGCCATTCCCCTTGGCCTGTCCCTACCTGCTCTTATTGCTGAGAAGCTTAAACCAGGTGAGGTACCCCCGGGGCAGCCCCCTCGCCCAGGCCAGGCAGGGAGAAGCGGTAGAACTGCCTGGTAGAGACCGGAGCCCTTCTCTACCCTCCCCTCGATGGGGGAGCTGCTTTACAGTGCTGCATCTCCCCGGATCAAAGGCTGCTCCTGACAGGCGACGGTGCCTCCCTCAGATAACGCAGGCTCCTGTTTCCTGACAAACACATTTAACGTGCATTATCTGATCAAGCAGGCACCAGCCGTGCGTGCGGAGGGAACCCCCGGGCCGGCATTAACCCTTTCCCGTTGCTCGGTGCGGTGTGTCAAGCATCCCTGCGTGTTCAACAGCCAGGGCTTCACTGGGTCACAAAGCTCAGGCTGCGGTTACGGAGCTGCTGGAACCGGGCTTCACCCACCGGCTCCTCTGTAAATGGGTTTCTGTCTTGCAGAGAGATGCCAAGGGTCAGTACCTGTTCGACCTCCTCTGCCACCACCTGAACCTGCTGGAGAAGGACTACTTTGGCATCCGGTTTGTGGACCCCGACAAGCAGAGGGTGAGAGCTCAGGCGGGGCCGTGGGGGTTCCTGCAGCTCACTGGTGTCAGGCTCCTCCTTGTGCTGGGGAGGGAAACCGGGGCGGGAGGCAAATGGCTGCAATAAAACTGAATTTAGGCTCCACTGATGCTTCCTCGCTGTTGGGATGTGTGAGCCAGGAGAGCTCACAGGGCTCTTGGGTCCCCGTGCGAGGCGTGGAAGCAACTTGTGTTTACAAAGTGAGAGGATCTGCTGCTACTGCAGAGGCGAAAGGGGAGATCTCCTGCCACTGGCTTTGCAGGACTATTTCTAGCCCAGAGTCACGCTTTAACACCCGGGTTAGGCCAGCAACGGCTTTGTGCCGAGCAGCAAAACACTTGTGCCTGTTGCCTTGGGTAATGGAGAGGGAAACAAGACATGGGACTGCTCAGAGCCGAGAGCCCCTGGCAGAACCCTGCGGGATGCTCACACAGGTCTCAGTGCTGTCCCCTCAAAGGTCAGTATCATTAACTGAGAGTCTTTACAGCTGAACCTCTGTAATTACCTTCCTTTGCCTTTCAGCACTGGCTGGAATTTACCAAGTCGGTTGTGAAGCAGATGCGGGGTGAGTATTGCTGTGCACAGACACCCCGGGCACACAGGGATCACTACAGCCAGGAATGGCCCCATGCCCATCCATCCCTCCTCACCAGGGCAGCTGGGTGCGTTTGGGGGGAGTGGGGAGGGCAGGGGAGACCCCAGCAGTATCCGAGCATCCCCTGGAGTGCAGTTACTGGGGAGGAGGGAGAGGATGAGCCCTGCCTCTGGTGACCACGGTGCCGCTGTTCTCCCTGCAGCCCAGCCTCCCTTCACCATGTGCTTCCGTGTCAAGTTCTACCCCACGGATCCTGCGGCTCTGAAGGAGGAGATCACCAGGTAAGGATGGATGTAGGATGGGGGCCCTGGGGGTCCTGCTGTGGTGGGACCAGGAGCCCCGCACTGGCCAGCGCCGGGGCAGCAGAGGCTTGGCCAAGGCAGGACCATGCTCTCAAGCTTCATTTCGTAGTTCAGGGAAAGCAGCAGCCGTTTCAATTTCCAAACCAACCTGAGGTTCCCTGGGCTGTCCCAGCTGTGGTGGGAGCGTGGCATTCCCCACGTGTGCTCCGTTCAGGGGAGGTGGGTTCAAGCAGGAGCAGCAGTTCTGTGATAGTCCGCTTTCTGCTTCTGCTGACGCTCTTGCCACTTGGGAATCACAAGGGAAAGACAAGGTGATGGGCACAAGTTATTCCTGGAGAGATTCTGACTGGGCACAAGAGGAAAACTTTCCCAGTGAGGACAACCAGCCCCTGGAATAATCCCCCCAGGGAAGAGGTGACTCCCCCCCACTGGACACTGTTAAGGCTCAGCTGCACAGGGTACAGCTGGGACACCCAGTGCGGGTCATGCTGTGCCTGGAAAGGTTGGACCAGGTGGTCCTTGAGGCCCCTTCAACCTGGGATTCTGTGGGTCAGCTGTTAGTGCCACTGCGGAGCACATCAGGTGTCCCTGTGTGTGTGTGGTCTGCCGGGGGGGTTCGAGTGTCTCCAGTTCCCTTGACACCCCCTGGACGTAGTTACCCCCATCCCTTTCCATGAGGGGCATGGATGCTCTGGGAGGAGCGGGTGGCAAACTGCGATGCAGAAACTTGGCAGCACTTGTCTCAAGTTTCTCTCTTTAGGGGCTCTTCATGCTGCCCTTCCTGCCAGAAGGAAGGACGTGAGCACACTCGTGGAGGAGTCACAGCAGCGCCTGTGTTTCACACAGGGCCCCAAACCCCAAAGAGCCCCTTAAGATGATATTTGGAAGCCTGAGAAAGCTTCAGTTTGGGTCTGACCTCAGAGGGGAGCAGAGCAGGAGGAAAGCATTTGTAAGGAGCCCTGTGCCCGCTTGCCGGCCTCTTTGAAAGCTCCTCACGTCCCCAGAGCCAGGCTGTGCTGCTGCCAGCACTGGAGCTGCAGCCAGCTTTCCTGGGCAGGATGGATCCCTTTGCTCGCCCAGGCGCGCTCAGGGGACCCGCGAGGAGCCAGCGATGCTTTCACGCGGAGCCATCTCCTGGGGCCGCTCTAGAGGCACCTCCTCACTTCGCCGGTTTTACATTTGCTCCCAGCAAACGCAGCCCTGAGCAGCCTTCATTTAAATGTGGAATGGCCAAAGCCGTGCCTGCGGGTAACGCGGCTGCTGCGCGGGCGTTGAGCCCCGCGCACGGTGCCTTAATTGAGTTTCTTTAATCGGAGCTTAGCAAACATCTGCGCTTGTCCTGCACGCCCGGAGAATTGAAATGCAGGTCAGGGCTTTGCGTGGTTGCAGGGTGGGAGCTGGAGCTGGACCCCAAGAGCATTGAGGTGGTGCTGGGGGCTGCTCAGCCCCTGGTTGGCTGGTGAAGGCTTCACGGTGAGTCCTCCCCTCCCGCGTGCCTGGAAATCCTTCATCCTTCCCCCTGGGGATGGAGCCAGCCGAGGAGCTCAGACATCAGAGTCATGGAAGGGTTTGGGTTGGAAAGGACCTGAAAGCTCATCCAGTTCCAGCCCCGCCTTCCTGACAGGGAAGAAATAACTCCCATCTTTAACGTCCTCACCCAGGGCAGCCTCATCCCACAGCCCAGCGCTGCCCTGGGAAACTCCCTTTTCCAGGGAGTATTTCCAAGGCATAGGCAAGGCTTTGGGAAACTGTTTGGCACCTGTGGAATTGCTTTCTTTGTAAAACCAGCTCAGACGGCCACCCCTTCCCCGTCTGAGGGAACAGGAGGCATCAATGGCACCATTAAACCCCTTTGGTTTGTGTGGTTTCCGTGAGGGCTGTGCCGCGGTCCAGGTCTGACAGCGGCCCCAGGGTGAGCGCCAACGGGGGTGGGCTGCCCCTGCTTGCTGTAGGTTGAGATGTGCCTGGCTTAAACCTGGGCTTAAAATTTACTTCCCCTGCACCAAATCCGCTTTAATATCTGGATTTCTCTTTAATGAGAGTGAAAATGAGGGGTTTATCTCATCCTAAATAGGGCTTTGGGAAATGAAGCATGACTGAGGCCCTGCGGAGTGCTGGTTATCTGAACACGGTTCTGAGCTCCTTCACTCTCTGACTTAGGTTTTGCCATCAAAAGGTTCTTCCCAGCTGCCCCATGACTCAGCCCAGCCTGCTGCCGAGGTTTGAACTTATTCAAATGTAATTTTTCAGCTGGGTTTATCTTTCCCTGGGCTTTGGTGCACGGAGATAAGGGGCACCTTGCTGGAGGTGATGGAGTGTCGATCATCGGCGAGCACGGAGAGGGAAAAGGGTGCGTGCGCACAGGCCTGGAAGGACACGAAGTTTGGGAAGGAGAAAATCACCTTATGGGGAGCTGAGCAGCAGCAAGGGCAAGGACTGGGAAGTGCCGCAGTGGTGAGTGGGCTCAGGACCACCAGGCCCCTCCAGAGCATCATCCCCAGGCACCCCAGTCCCTGGTGGCAGCTCTTTGTGCCAGCAGCTCTGCCATGGCTGTGCCGGTGCAGATCTCCATCAACCCCTGGGTCGGGTGCCAGCCCTGGAGCAGGCACTGCGTCCCTACAGGCAGGAGCAGGGTTGGGATGTGAAGACTGAGCCCCAGCACCAGCCCTGAGCCAGGAACTGCCTGGTAATGGGCACTTGCTCATCCCCAGCAAGTGTAATGTCTCAGAAATGGGCTGCTCGCAGTGGCAGCTATTCCACTGTTAGCGTCTTGCGGCAGATATTCCACATTAAACTGCCTGCTTGGGTATTTTAAACTTTGCTTAATAAATGGACTATCTCTTCTGTCCTCAGGTACTTAGTCTTCCTGCAGATCAAAAGGGATCTCTACCACGGCCGTCTCCTCTGCAAGACCTCGGATGCTGCTTTGTTGGCCGCCTATATCCTTCAAGGTAATGCTTTATGACAAGACAAATTTGCTTTTCATGCTGAGCACTGATTACATTATTTCACTTACAACAGATCCCTGCACCTAGAATACAAATGTCATCCCGCCAGAGCAGGGCTCATGCTTCAAGGCCGTGCTTGTGCTGCGCGGGGCTGAGGTTGGTGCCGGGGTCTCGCTGCAGGCGGTGCTGCTGGATGGATGCTCCCAGAGCGGTTCTGGCAGCGCAGAGGTGGCTGGTGCAGCACCCAGTGCACAGCAGGGGGCTCTCAGGCTGTTTGGGAGCGCTGGGAGCTGCTGGTGTGGTACAGAAGCACCTCAATGTGCCATTAGCACCATGATGGTCTTCCCCACCCAAGGGTGCTTGGTTGATGCTGGTGCCCCTCGCTGGGCAGTCCCCTGGTACCGGCAGTCATGTCCCCAGGGTGAGCTGGGGAGATGCACCCTGGCAATCAAGCCCCATAGATCTCAGCTCCAGAGTGTTTGGAGGTATCCCACAGCGCTGGTGTTCTTACCCCCTTTAGGGCTTTAAGGCGGAGACATTAAAGTTAATGTAATGCCTCCACTTCACTTAGGACCTGAGATGGGGGGGGAATTAAATGAGAGCAAGGTCCTTTCATCCCCAGGGCAGCTGGCTGCTGGATTGCTGCAAGTCCCGGCAGGAGACACCAGCTCCACAGGGAAACACCAGCAGTGACTGCTGCCAGCCCCTGCAGGGTGCTGGGACAGGGAGCGGGGCTGGGACAGACCCTGCTCAGGAGGGAGTGGGGCTGAGCTGTCTGTCCCAGGCATTTCATAGCCTCAGGGGGTGGTTTTTGTTCACTCACAGGGAAGAGCTTCTGCCTAAGAGCTCATCTCCGTCTCCCCTCGGGCAGGTTCAAGCCATTCCCCTTGGCCTGTCCCTACAGGCCCTTGTCCCAAGCCCCTCTCCAGGTTTCCTGCAGCCCCTTCAGGCACTGGAGCTGCTCTCAGGTCTCCCCTTCAGGAGCCTTCTCCTCTCCAGGCTGCCCCAGCCCAGCTCTCTCAGCCTGGCTCCAGAGCAGAGCTGCTCCAGCCCTCGCAGCATCTCCATGGCCTCCTCTGGCCTCGCTCCAACAGCTCCACGTCCCTCTGGTGCTGCTGCCCCAGAGCTGGATCAGGGCTGCAGGGGGGGTCTCCCCAGAGCGCAGCAGAGGGGGGGCAATCAAACGACCCCTGCTGATGGGGAGCGTGGCCAGGCCGGGTGGGGATGCTCGCTGTGGTCTGGGCTGCGCTGCTGTTCCTGACCAGTTCTGTCTCCTACCAGCCGAGATCGGGGACTATGACCCGGGGAAGCACCCAGAAGGCTACAGCTCCAAGTTCCAGTTCTTCCCCAAACACTCGGAGAAGCTGGAGAGGAAAATTGCAGAGATCCACAAGTCGGAGCTGAGGTACGGCCGGGGGCTGCTGCAGGGATCCCTGGTGCTGGCTGTGCTGTATCCCAGTGGTGCCACGGTGCTGGGAGCCTGCAGCGTGCAGAGAGCAGAGCGGCTCTGGGCCGGCAGGTCGAGGAGGGATGAACCCGGCAATCCATGCCCTCGCTGCTGCTGCTGCTGCCCAGCAAGCTCCCCTTTCCTCCCCCGGAGGAACGCCTGTGCAGGACATCCAGTCCTCCCTTTGCAGGTGCTCTGAGTCTGGGTCCGTCCCGGTGCGTGCCCTGCAGGATGGGGCCGCAGGGGGCTGGGCTCCTGCTGCTGGTCGTGCTGAGGAATGTCGGGGGAACACGCCGTGGTTGATGCCTCGTCATTAAGAGCAAGCCTGCAGCCGGGGGCTCACTGTCCCCTTCACGTCTCCATGCAATGTTCTCTTTTCCCTGTTTTCCCCCTGCAGTGGGCAGACACCAGCTACTTCAGAGCTGAATTTCCTCAGGAAAGCCCAGACTCTGGAGACCTATGGGGTGGACCCCCACCCTTGCAAGGTAAAACCCTTTCCCTAACGCCGTTGCTGGGGCCGGATTTCTCGCTCTGGTAACAATCTGCTCCCAGTGCAGCAAAACCCAGTGGGCTTGGGCCTGTTTTAAACCCTCTCCAGCCTTAAAACCCAGCCCTAATCAGATGTCTGTGCACAAGGAGGTGCAGGGACACGAGTGCTCCAGAGGGTATTTAGGGAAGCTGTAAGGAAGCGTTTTCAATGCAGGCAGCTATGAAAGACAGCGGCTGATCATCTTCTGCTAAAGCGTGTCATTTGGAGGCAGCAGCGAGGTCAGGGATGTGTCTGGGAAACCAGCAAGCGTTAATCTGCCACAGACAGTGTATCACCCTGCTCCTCCCCGGCCAGTAATCCAGTTTGCTGTCTGAAATGCTTTTTATTGACTGCAGATGTCACTGCATGTGGCTCTCTCTGGTCCCTCATAATCCGATCGCATGCAGATGGATGCAGGATGCAAAGCAGGCAGAGAATGTTACTCTGTGGGCTCTGCTCTCGGTCTCCTGGGGCTTTGAACTGAATTAGACCTCATAAATGCACAGCTGTGGTAAATGTACCTGGCCTGGGGGGGGCATGTCCCGTTTACCGGCAGCCTGCGGTTGCCAGAGGGGATTTTCCAGGCTGGAGGAGCTGGATCACGCCGCTGGGGCAGCTCTCCTGCCATACCGGCTGCATTGGGCCGTGCTGCCTCAGCAGCGATGCTCAGCACCGCTGAGGGCTTTGCTCCTGTTTCCCTGTGCCCCATTCAACACCTCAGCCCTTACCAAGCCTCTGCGCCCCCGCATTGTCCCCCAGCAAAGGTGGGTTCTGCACAGATGCAGGCAGGGCTGCTGCATCTCGGACACGATGGGTTTGGGGGTTCCCATCTTGCCATGTGCGGGGTGCTGGGTGCCGGTTCCGGGTGCTCTGCTTTTGGCCGTTCACCCTTGACAGATTAAGGTGGATTTTTGATGGAATCTATATTTAAACCCAGTTTGCTCTCTGCTCAGGTCCGTGGGATCTTGGGACAGCTCTGTCTCCTTGCCCTGCGCCGGCAGAGGAACTGAGACCCAGAGCCCTGGGCTGGGGGGGGAGCGCAGAGGTGTCTCAGCTCGTGATTAAGCCAGGAAAAGGCAGAACTGGGAGCGGGGGGGAGCCTTGTGCCCCCAGGCTGGGGAGATGCTGCCATGCTTTCCCCTGGGAAACATCGCAGGCACAAACAGGCACCGCTCCTCTGCAGCAGCCCCTGTAAAACTCCTTTACCCGCTTGTCCTGCCCAATGCACTGGAACCCCTGAGCCTGGTGTGCACCTTCCCCTCGCCTCAGCATCCTCCGCAACCCGGCTGGGTGCCTGCTGCCAAAGGACAGCCAGGGTGGATCCCACCAGCGCTGGTCACCCACAGCGGGTTCAGGACGCTGTTAGAACCCCAAGGCTCTGTGTGCCCTGCTCAGGGCAGTCAGTGAGCACCTCCCTGCAGGCTGGGCACTGGGATTAACTCCGACTGCTGCCAGCTCCGTACAGGACACTCACTGCTGGGTTACAGCAGTGCCGGTGCTGCCCTGGCTCTGCAGGGCTCGGGGGCAGTCAGAGCTAACGGGGTTTGACTGTTTCCTGCTGTAATGACTGGGGAGGAGGCTGCTGGGGCAACCGAGCCCCGTCCAGCCCTGCCTGGAAGCATCCTGATGAGAAATTGCTGTTGTCTTAAAGGATGTGTCCGGGAACGCAGCGTTTCTGGCCTTCACCCCCTTCGGGTTCGTTGTTCTGCAGGGAAACAAGAGAGTTCACTTCATCAAATGGTGAGTTCCCAGCCGGCATCGCCCACGGTGCTCGGTTCTCTTTGCTCAGCCATGAGATGCCTGTGGTGCTGCAGGGCCGGGCCATGAGAGCCCCTCAGCTCCCTGGGGCATTGAAGGGATGCTCAGGTGAGCTCCTATGGATGGGGCACATAGATGATCCCAGCACCGGCTGCCTCCCCCAGTCACAGAGCAATGTTCCCATGTGGGCCAGTGGTGAAGCGACGAGTGTACCCAGTGCCCACATCAGAGCTGGGATGGGTCTGAGACATGGACGGGAGCGATGCTGCGGCAGCCGGAAACCCCGTCCCATGCCCTGCACACGCTTGCAGCAGCACGCACAGAGCTTGCACACCCAGCACCCACGAGCAGGGGAGAAAACAGGCGGCCCCCAGCCCGGTCCCAGTCAGGGTGCAGCGGGGCTCTCCCTTTTGAGCTGTGTGCTCTCTCCATTTGCTTTGTTGCCCCAGACGTACCATTTCCTACATCTGTCTGCGTTAAACTGCCCCGAGTCCTGCAGAGCTCCCCTCGGAGCCAGGTTCTGTTGTTCCTCGGTCTTTGCCGCACCCCAGATGTTGACTGGTGTGTCCCTCGCAGTTGGGGTTGCCACCCAGGCACTCCCTGGTGACCCCCATTGATGGGTGTCCCCCTTTCCAGCAGCTGCTGGTCTCTGATCCAGCGCTCCTCTCGGGGATGGGCAGCGGGGTCCTGAGGCTGCCCCACTTCCAAACCCGCAGCCCCCGTGCCGTGGCCGTGCCGCAGGTGGCCTGTGGTGGGCCCCACACAGCCCTCAGCCGCCTGTCCTTGTGCTTTCAGGAACGAGGTGACCAAGATGAAGTTCGAAGGGAAGACTTTCTATCTGTACGTAAGTCAGAAAGAGGTGAGTGCTTCCCCTTCCATGGGAACGCCGGGGGCTGCCCCAGCAGGCTCTCCATGGAGCGGGCAGGCTGCAGCCCTCTGCCTGGTGGTGTGGGGACAGGGCTATGGGACAGGGGCTCTGGCAGCACTGGGGTCACCTCTGCTTTGGGTGCCTTGCTGTGGGTGTCAGAGCCTGCAGAGCCCGGGCTCCGGGCCAGCCCAGGGGCTGTATCCAGGGTTGCTGTGGTTGGTTGTTATCACCATTCCCGGTTAATGGAATCGGCCTGGGGACCTCAGGCTGCCATCAGCTCCCCACGAGCCATCAGCGTGGGGCTTGTCAAACTGTCTCTAGGTGTCCAGAAGGGAGGTGACTCAGAGGAGGGCACTGGGAGGTGACCCAGAGGAGGGCACTGTGGCATACATCTGCCTGCCCCTCAGGAAGTGTCGGGTGATGCTCCAGCATCTCCCTGTGTCCTGAGTGGCTCTGGAGGAGGACCTGCCCGTGTCCATGCTGCTCTCCAGCTCCGCTGCTCCGGCTCCATCCGCACTGCAGCCTCCTGCCCCATGGGCACCGCTCACTTGTTCTCACACCGACTCCCTCCCCATCTTTCTCCTTTAGGAAAAGAAAATCGTTCTCACGTATTTTGCCCCGACACCGGAAGCCTGCAAACACCTCTGGAAGTGTGGGATAGAAAACCAGGCTTTCTACAAGTGAGTGCCCGCGGGGGTGTGCGATGGGTGCTGTGTGCTGCCCCGCACAGCGCCTGCCCCACGGCTGCAGCCAGGTCCCGGGGCTCGGGCACAGGCAGAGTCACCAAAAGCACAGGGAATATTTTCTGACCTAATCCCAGGATCCCAGCCTGGTTTGGGTTGAAGGGACCTCAAAGCTCCTCCAGCTCCAGCCCCTGCCACGGGCAGGGACCCCTTCCACTGGAGCAGCTTGCTCCAAGCCCTGTGTCCAACCTGGCCTTGAGCACTGCCCCGGATGGGGGATGGATTTTCCCACTGCCTTCACAGGGGCTGTTTGTGCTGAACCCTGCCCAGAAATCCCCAGGGAAGCGGAGCCGTCGCCCAGGGGTGCTTTAGGGCCACCTTGTAATGGGGAAGGCTGAAAACTGTCCCAAATAATCTGCTCTGAGCTCTCTGGGGACACATTAACTGTTCATGGGAGATAGCCAGGGCCCGGGGAGGCGACGCACAGCCTGGGCTGCTGGGGACCATGGCTCGGGGGACCATCCCACCACTGCTGGCTTTGGGGGGTCTGTGGGCTGCAGCTCCTGCCGCGGGAGCTTCGGGAGGTGCTGTCCTTCGGGAGCTTTGGGCTCCCCACTGTGTGGCCACCAAAGCAGCTTTCCTGCCCCCGGTGCGGTCAACGGGGCTGCGGTGCCTGCCCCAGGGCAGGGAGGTGCCAGGGGTTGGCTTGGCTTTACCAGGGTGGTTTGGCTTTACCACCCTGCTCGCGTTGTGCCCAAGCCCAGCCTACCCTGCGCTTTGTAATGAGCTCTGCTTTAATCAGCAAGGCGCAGATAAAGCGTGTGATGTTTCCTCCCTGGGAATACTGCAATCAGCAGCCGCAATCAGCAGGTTCCATTCCTCATTATATTAACATGAAATGAAATTGCAGTATTGCTTTACAAATCTCCTCGTGATTAATCGTGGCAGGGAATTACCCCTGGGTTATTCACCCAGCAGAGCGGGCCGGGGGCTTGGCCAAGGTGCTGCTGGGCCCCTCCTGGGAAAGGGGGCAGCTCCCATGGGATGAGGAGGGATTGGACTGTCCATCCCGGAGGATTTACCCGCTGCCGGTTGAAGTAGTGCTCGTGTCCAGCCGTCCCAGGCCCCCACACTGCTGACAGGGCCTTGTTTCGTTCCTGGTGCTGTTGCCCATCTCCAGGGCTTTGCCCTTGTGATTTGGCCATCCTCTGTGGGATGCTCACACAGCTCTTGGTGGTGTTGTTGCAGGCTGGAGAAGTCGAGCCAGGTCCGGACAGTGTCCAGCAGCAACCTGTTCTTCAAGGGAAGCCGGTTCCGCTACAGGTAAATAATGACAAGCAGCAGCTGCTGGGTGGTTTTGGAAGCTCCTTTTCTGTGCTCTGGGCAGCAGTTCAGGGCTGCAGGGGTCTGAGGACGTGCCAAGGGTCCCCCTGTCAGCCCCAGCGAGGCCGTCGCTGCCTCTTTCTCTGTTTTCCCACTGACAGCCCCCTCCCCAGCGCCAGAACTGCACGTTTTTGGAGGGACAGGAGTGGAGGAGAGGATGGGGCCTTTGGGGTTTGACTTTTGAGACCAAGAAGTGAAACGAATCACTCCAATCCCTAAATTTCAGAGGGTGTCACTGGTCCCTGGCCCTGTGGCAAGAGCCCGGCCCTGGGACCTCATATCTGCAGGACGAGAGCCCCAGCTCGAGGTGCACGATAGCAGCACCCTCCTTGCTGGCTGCCTGGGTGCCCGTGGTGGGGAGGTGACCCCGCAGTGTCCAGCATCTCATGGCAGGAGCAGCCGTGGTGCAGAGGTGTCGCCCTGCTCCTCTCACCAGCAGATTGTTGTGCTTTCCCTGTGACTTCCCGGTGCCACAGGGGAGCTCGTGGTACCACGCTCATGTCCTCACGCTGCTGCTCTTGCACCACCCACAGCGGCCGTGTTGCGAAGGAGGTGATGGAGTCCAGCGCCAAGATCAAGAGGGAGCCACCCGAGATTCACCGGTAAGAGCCCGGCAGCAGTGCGGAAGCCGCTGGAGCGGAGCGGGATTGATCCCGTGTCCTGGCACAGACCAGGGCTCTGACGCTGTCCCTGCTCCCATCCTCAGGGCAGGGCTGGTGCCGAGCCGGAGCTGCCCCTCCATCACCCACGGCCCCCGGCTGAGTAGCGTGCCCCGCACCCGCAGGAGAGCCGTGCACATCTCCATCATGGAAGGTAGGACACGGGCAACCTCCTGGTGCTGGGGACGCGTGTATGAGTGCACACACGTGCACACACGTGCACACGACAAACCCCAGGTGATTTTTGGGGGTCCTGATGCTGGTGAGGGGACGCCGGGGCAGGGAAGGTCCCCAGTGTGTCCCCAGGGTCCTATGGCAAGTCCAGGCAGCACCAGACATTGCTCTTGTGGCTCAGGGCCAGTTTGGCGTCAGCAGCTGAGCCCGAGCAAGGCTGGAGCCGGCTGTGGGACAGAAGTTTCCGGGGCAGAAGCAAAGCAGAGGGGATTTCTGGGCAGCGTCAGTGTAGATTCAATTGGTGATGCAGCAGCAGGGTGCGCGCTGGGTGCCCTGCTCCCGCGGGGCTGCGGGGCCGGCACAGCCGCACCGAGCCCAGCCCGCGCTCCGCGGGCACGGACAGGGAGCGCAACCGCCGCCCGCCCGAAGGGCCGGGTCCCTGGGAGCAGGGAACGGATTCATCGCCCCCGAGGGAGCTCCGCCTCCCGCCGCTGCCGTTGGACGGCGCCGCCCCTGCCCCGGCAGCTGCCGCTCTGCGCGCCCGCTTCGCCTCGCTCCCCGGGGAGCCCAGAATAGCGCTGCCCCCGCGGGCCGCCATGGTGAAGTGCCTGATAAAGATCAAAACCAAAGTCAGCGTGGACCTGCGGTTCGCCAACCACTGCTGCCGGGACGTGAGGGTGCGGGTGCTGGCCCTGGGGCCGCGCCTGCTGGCCCGGGCGCTGGGGGCTTTGCCGCTCGTCCCGGCTCTGCCCGGCCTCAGCCGCAGGGCTCCACGCGGCCATGGAGCTGTACGGATGCTAGGTAACGCTGTACGGGTGCTAGGTAATGCTGTACGGGTGCTAGGTAATGCTGCCTAATGCTGTACGGGTGCTAGGCAATGCTGTACGGGTGCTAGGTAATGCTGTACGGGTGCTAGGTAATGCTGTATGGGTGCTAGGCAATGCTGTACGGGTGCTAGGTAATGCTGTACGGGTGCTAGGTAATGCTAGGTAATGCTGTACGGGTGCTAGGTAATGCTAGGTAATGCTGTATGGGTGCGAGGTAATGCTGTACGGGTGCTAGGTAATGCTGTACAGATGCTAGGTAATGCTGTACGGGTGCTAGGTAATGCTGTACGGGTGCTAGGTAATGCTGCCTAATGCTGTACGGGTGCTAGGCAACGCTGCCTAATGCTGTACGGGTGCTAGGTAATGCTGTATGGGTGCTAGGTAATGCTGTATGGGTGCTAGGTAATGCTGTATGGGTGCTAGGTAATGCTGTATGGGTGCTAGGTAATGCTGTACGGGTGCTAGGTAATGCTGTACGGGTGCTAGGTAATGCTGTACAGGTGCTAGGTAATGCTGCCTAATGCTGTATGGGTGCTAGGCAATGCTGCCTAATGCTGTACGGGTGCTAGGTAATGCTGCCTAATGCTGTATGGGTGCTAGGCAATGCTGCGGGTCTGCACCCCGCGGCTCCCCCATAAGGGACATGGGATGCAGGATGTGTGCGTGGGGTCGGTCTCCTGTGCTGGCTGAACTCTGGGCTGTTATTATCCAAAGCAGCTTCGGTGTTGGAGCTGGACCCAGCTTGCTGAGCTTTGTCTGTCAGGGCCTGGAGCAAGCAGAGGGCAGGATAGTCTGGTTTTGGGGTACCAGCACTGCTCTCATTGCAGAGACGAGCAGTGGGCCCCCCGCCATGGGCTGCCCGCCCCCCCGGGCCGTTCACATGAGCTGTGTGACACCCGAGCACACATAGCTGGCGGGGTGAGAACAGCTTTATTCCTCCACCGTGCTTATCGCCTGAGCTGCCCCTTGTGCTCGGTGCCCGCAGCGGCACTCGTGTTAAGCTGAGCTGACCCAGAGGCATCGGGGCAGCATTTGCAAGGAAGAGGCTGCAAAGCCCCCGGGAATGCTGGCAGGGCCGGGCCCTGCTCTTCATCCTTTGGCAGAGCCAGGGCCCCCGGTGGCGCTGTGCCATGGTGCACGGTGCCCTCCCTAACAGGAGAAATGTCCCCAGGGTTGTCTTTTAATGCATCAGCCGGAGACGGGCAGGGCTTGTCCCAGGGGGCTGCCCCAGTGCAGACACCATGCAGTGTTTCTACCCCCCCATCCCTGTACCCCTTTGCTGCTGTGGGGGTAGTGGAAGGTGTCGCTGCCCGTGGCAGGGGTTGGAACTGGATGAGCTTTAAGCTCCCTTCCAACACAAACCCTTTGTGATTCTGTGATCACCCCTGCCCATGGCTGCTCCCGGTTGGTGCTGGTGTTGCTGACGGCGCAGGGGCCTCGCCCGGCGCGGGTGCCTGTCACCTCAGCGCAGCCGCGGCACACGGTGTCTGTGACCCATTGACGACAAGCCCGTGGCTGTCGGTGACGGTGACAGGTCACACGTCACCGGTGCAGGAGAGCTGACGGGGACCCAAGCAGCGATGCTCAGCCCGGCTCGGGTGAGGTTGGGTCCTGCACCCCCCTGAGTGTCCCCTTTGTCCCCCAGGCCTGGAGTCCCTGCGGGACAGCGCCCACTCAACCCCGGTGCGCTCGGCCTCCCACGGCGATGCCTTCGCGGCCCCGGGGCGCGGCGGCCGCGCCGACAGCAGCGAGCGCGTGGCCGTCATCGCGGACGAGAACTACAGCCCCGCGGACAGCGTGCTGCCCACGCCGGTGGCCGAGCACAGCCTGGAGCTCATGCTGCTCTCGCGCCAGGCCAACGGCGCCCCGTGCTCCATCGAGGAGGAGAAGGAGTCGGAGGCCGGCACGCCGGCGGCCGAGGCGGAAGAGGCGGGCGAGCTGCGGGCGCTGTGCCCCGGCGCCGGGGGCCTGGGCGCGGCGCAGGCCGAGCAGGTGAATAAGTTTGTTTTAAGTGTCCTCCGTTTGCTCCTTGTGACAGTTGGACTCCTCTTTGTCTTGCTCCTCCTCCTCATCGTCCTTACCGAGTCCGACCTTGACACTGCCTTTTTCCGCGATATCCGCCAGACCCCCGAGTTCGAGCAGTTCCATTACCAATACTTTTGTCCCCTCAGGCGATGGTTTGCCTGCAAAGTCCGCGCCGTGGTAAGCCTGCTCATTGACACCTGAAGGCAGGAGCCGCCACCTAAGTAGCCGGGGGCCTGGGGAGAGACCTGCGCCGTGCCCGGCACGCGCCGCGGCGCCTTCGGCACCCGCTCATAACCCTCCCTTCCCGACCCAGAGCGCGGCGCGGCCGGAGGCAGCGTCCCGGGAGGAAGAGGAGGGTTGGGCACAGCCCCCGGAGCCTCCTTCCCCCCGCGCTCGGCCCCCGGAGCCCGCGCAGCACCTCACCGTTCCGCCCCTGCCACGGGAGCACCGAGCAAGGGACGCGCTGTGGTCCTGCTGCCGCCCAGCGCTGCAGGAGCACCGGCGATGCCGTGCCGCAGAAGCTTTAGCAATGGTGCTACCGAGCAGTGGCTCAAACGCTCGCGCACTCCTGCGTTACTAAATCCACCACTGTGCGCCCCGCCGTCCCCGTGCCGCTTTGCCGCAGTCCCTCCCTGCTGCCCGGAGCCTCCTGCACAGCCGGATGCGATGGGGATGCCGTGGTGCCCCGCTCCCTGCAGCACAGCAGCCTCAGCGATCCCACCTCCTCCCCAGCCTCGCAGCACCAGTGCTCCCAGGGGCAGGGCGAGCACAACAGGCACCCTTGGCCAAGCCTGGTAGTGACCATGTCGGATTTATTAGGAAGACCTTTTCCCTCCAGAAGCCGTACCTGTTTTGTACAAAAACACACAAAAAAAGAACAAAAAAAAAAAAAAAGAGACAGTTTCAAGGTCTATTTTAACAAGGAAATGCTATTTTGCTATCAAATCTGATCAAGTCTTTTTTTACTTGGCGGATCGGGTGGTCGAGCGGTTCACGTTGAGCAGAGGGTTTAGGATTTGACAGCCTAACAGCAATTAACCTGGCGCTAGTTCTGGATGAGAGGAAGGAGCTCTGATTTGGTGACTTTACTGAAGATGAAAGGACAGACCCACAGGAGTGGAGGTGACACTGAACAAGCCAATGGACAACCATTAGACCCATCTTTTCTTAAGCAAAAATCAAGAAACCCAACTCATTGTACTTGTGACGACCACCGGGACCTCCAGTGGCCTGGGAAGCAGTGGTCTATTCCCACAGGGAGCAATAAAAGCCAGTTTGGTTCAGATTTGGTTGAGAAGTTGGACACACTTAACAAAAAGAAGGAGAACACAGGTGAGCACGTTTTATTTCATCTCAGGGAGAGATTTTCCGTACGCTGGGGCCATAACTGCAGTTTTCAACAGCCTGATTTCCGTGTTCTTGTCTCTGAGCATCCCACCATCCATCCATCACTGCTGGGGCCGCTCCTGCCCAATCCGGGCCTGGAGAAGGAGCATGATGATGATGTTGGTTGATCCAACACCACGGCCAGACTTGGGTCATTTGTTACTGCAATAAAAGAGGTCCTGAATCTGTCGGGGGGGTGGGGGAATAAAGACCTCAGCCGGGTTGTGTTTGGCTGCCAAGGGCACAGCACAAGGGCCGAGGAAGGGTTTGCCTCAGCCCCGCTCGGGGGCAGGTGGGAGGATGGAGTTCGACATGATAATCCTGTTTTATGCAACATAACATAGCAAAATAACTCTTAGCGTAGTGCGCCTACCTCAGCCCGTAGTTAATGGTGTTTCTATGCAGTGCGTGGTAGTCCCGAACCTGCCGTTTTTCACCCCGGGTTTAAGATGCAGTGTTCCCTCCTCCTCCTCCTCCTCCCTGCTGATGTACTGCGTGATGTCGTGCCAGCACAGCCCCGGCCGCAGCGAGACTCCCTCCTGCCCGAGCCCAGCGCAGGCTCCGCGCCTGCCCCTGGAGCCCCGGCCTCGCTCCCTGCGGCGCCGCAGCCCTGGGGCTCCTCTGCAGGTTCCAGCCAGCCTTTTCCTGCAGATCCACCCCCAGTGGTGGCTCCCCGTTGTCCGTTCTCCCTGTCCGCTCCATCCTCCCTCTGGTGTTTCCGGCCCTGTTAGTTTTACCTGTCTTTCTATTAAAATGTTGTTTCCATAGGTTCTTATCTCAGAAAATAAAGATCTCGTCCTAGCATACTGCATCTTGAGGCAGTAGACAGTAAAAATACCTGAAAATGTGAATTTCTTAGTTTTCATAAAAAAAAAAATCTAGGAATTAACCTTTCATGTGCCAAATACTGTAAGTTACATTTTTCCTTCAAAATGTACCTTTTTCTACATATTCAATATCTTAGTTAGCATAAAATCATTGGTGCCATGAAAAGTATTTTTAAATTTAAATAAATATTTAAATATCATGAAAGGCAGAGTTGTATCAGGTTTGTTCAGTGCTGCTCCTGGTGAGCAAAGCAAAGTGCCCCAATTGCTGCACCGGCTCCAGAATGAGTCCAGAGGAGGCCACGGAGCAGCTCTGAGAGCTGGGCTGGGGCAGCCTGGAGAGGAGAAGGCTCCTGAAGGGGAGACCTGAGAGCAGCTCCAGTGCCTGAAGGGGCTGCAGGAAACCTGGAGAGGGGCTTGGGACAAGGGATGTAGGGACAGGCCAAGGGGAATGGCTTTAACCTGCCCGAGGGGAGACTGAGATCTGGGATTCTACTGATCCAAGGTTTCCTTTTTTTGCAAAATTGGGGAACAAAGTACCCATTTTGGTACAAAGTGACGCCACAGCACATCTGATTCATTTTATTCTCTAGTTACAGAAGAGAAGTCAAAGGTAGCTTAGAAAATTTATTTTAAAGCTTTTACAAATACACTTTTTGTCCTGAGAAAATCCCGTGGGTTTGGGAGCAGTGGAATGGGGCTTAAACCAAGGGAATGAGGGCAGGAAAATACAAACACCTGAAGCACGTTTCTACTCCTTGAACACATGAAGGCGGCCACTGGAGTTGCCCCCCACCAGGATGTTCCTACTGGGGTGGCAGACGTTGATGGAGCAGATGGAGCCCAGGCAGTCGAGGTTAGAGAACGAGTGCAAGAGTTTCCCAGTATCTTGGAAGACTTCGATTTGCCTTGGCCGCGCCATGCTGCCCACCACGAAGCAGTGCTCCTGCTTGGGGTCCCACACTGCTCTGAACCTGGTCAGCCAGCGGCCCGTGTGGTTGTTGTGGCTTCAGAGAAGGAACCAGGGAGAAAAAGAGAGAGAGAAACACCCCTCTTATTGAATCCAGCCCCGGAAAGCCCCATCATTTCTGCTTCAACCCAGCCTCCTGCCTCCTGAGCTATCAGCAATTCCCCTGATCGTGCTGCTCCACTCCCTTTGGTGATCTCCCCCCTGTGATGGGTGGGACAGGACAAAGAAAGGTGGTGGAGCAAGAAGATAAAGCTGAGGGCACTCCAAGGTACGGGATTATCAATTTAAGTAGTTCTGTTTCATGGCTCTGTATTATAGCCAAAATAGGACAAACATGCACCGAGCCTGTTGATAAACCACAGACCAGGAGTGGTTCCCTTGCAAACCAGCCCCGACAACCTCCCGGTTCACCCTTTGTGCACAGCCTGAATTCACCCTCCTGGAGCACAGAGTGCTTCACAAGCCTTGAGCCTCCACCCCAAACCACGCCACTGACCACCAAGAGGTAACCTCTGCTATTAAACCAAATGCACAAAGAGAAAGCATTCCGACAGCAAGCACAGTTCAGCATCACACAGCCGGGTGGGCACTCGTCTGCTCTCAAGGCCCCTCCTGCCACTGAGCCGTGGTCTTTGGGCACACAACAGCCTGCAGCCCCAGTGTGCTCAGCTTACCTGACAGTGCTGAGAGCCGTGACCGTGGGTGACAAAGAGGTGGTGTCATAGACCCTGTAACATAAACCAGTGTGGCGATAAAACAGGCAGGTTAAAAAAGGGAGCCCTGGCCTCGCAGAGCACGGATCAGCATGGCCAGACCTCACAGGGGTCTGGAATACAGTAACGAACAGCATCCAGCTCAACTGAAGCACCAGTATTCCAACTGAAATGAGTAAATGTGCTTCTTTAAATTGGATGAGCTTTTAGCTCGAGTGGAAGGTCATCCCTTCTGAACGCTGTTACAGGAGGAGGACAGAAACAACTTGTAGACGAACAAAAGGCTCCTCCATCCTTTCAGTCACTGCATTAACAGGCACTGAATGAATGAACCTGTGTCTGTTCTCTCCACAAATATCCTGGTTTACTCTCGTCCTGTTGGTGCTCTGACCCTTGCTCTGTTAGCACCAAGGATTTACAATTTTCATAGCCAAGCTTACTATGGAGTATGAATCTAGTAAATACATCACAGGAGAGAAAATACCAGTGCGGCAGAACTCACACAGAAGAACACCTTCCTCAGTTAGGGGAAGGGGAGAAAGAAAATCCAATTTCAGACAGAACATCCATGCAGTCAGGGGTCTACAGGAACAGACTGACTGAATTATGGTCACAAAACCACCTAGCAGAACCCCCCCACCAGATCCCTCATACAACAACTCATAGCAGGTTAAACTGGCAGACGAGTTATAAACGAGCTGACAGAACCATCATGCTAAGTACCAGCAGCTAAAAATAACCCGTTTCTAAGTATTGTGTGTTTGTGCTGATGAGCTGGGTTTGGCTGGGTGTTGCTTGCGGGGTTTGGTTGGGTTGTTAAAGGCGGTTCGGACTTATTCACTGCGAGTATTCATCAGGAAAATGAGAACTGGGGAAAAAAAGAATAACATTTAAATGCCAGTGCACGTAAATATGGCTTTTGAAAAGCACGCTACGGGCAGAAGCTCTCCGTGAGGGGTAATGCAGATAGGAAACAGCACCGATACAGCCCAGCTGGCATATTGCACAGGAGTTACTCCTTCCCACGCTGCTCACCTCAGCTTGTTGTCGGCACACACCGTCACCACCCTGCTCCCAGTGACAGGGGAGAAGTAGGCAGAAGCGACGCTCTTCGTGTGTCCTCTCAGGCTGCTCACGGGCTTGTTCCGTTCCGCCGCCAGGCGCCGGACGTCATAAACGCAAACATCCCTGCAGCAGAGCACACGCAGCGCCTCAGCAGGGGCCGGCCCCATCCTCCTTCACCCAGAGCTGCCCCAGCCACTGCGGGTTTCCTGAGCCCTGCGTGGCGCCCAGCACACTCAAACAGGCAGCGCCTCCAAAGGGTCCGAGAGCACCAAAGCCAGCCCAAACCCTCAGCACCATGACCTGACAAACCCCACAGTGACTCAAAGCACCCCTTGGTACCCATTACCAAAAGGAAGTCAAAGCGAACCCCACTTAAATCCTGCTGGCAGCTAAAACCTTGTTTCCTAACAGCTCAAGAGTAAAGGCTGACCAACTGGCTGCCTCATCCGCTGCTGCTCCTGCCCTCCACCCACCCCACACTTCAGACACCAAAGCAGAGAGAGCACTGAAAGCACAGAACAACCACAGCTCCTCTGGAGCTACGTACGTGGAGCCAGCAGCAAGGAAATACTGCTTATTCACAGGGTGAACGTGCACTGTCCTTGTTCTTTTGAAGCCAATGTTTGCAGAGAGCTCTGGAGACGTCCCTGGGGTCCTCCTGTCCACAACACAGACGTCGCCAGCCCAGTGTCCTACTATTGCAGTGGAGGCGTTGTCATCCAAAAAGTCAAAGGAAGACAGGTTGACTTCGTCTTCACTTCTGCAGATCTGAGCACAGGAAAGCCCAAATGTAACCAAAAGCAGTCAACAAAATACACAGAGCTATCCATGACGCCCAAACCACTCTATGGGCTGTAGATGTCACGCTTTCCCTTTTTAATATACTAAAACTACTAACGAAGAACAGCTAATTTGAGAGCCCCAGCCTCAGCTGAGCATGTGGGTAACCCTCCTGTAAAACTGGGGTGCTTTCCACAGAGCAATTTCCCACCCCAACCCAACAGGCAACAACATGCTTCAAATTCCCTGCTAGAACTCACAGGGCACGACCAGCTCCATGTAATCAAAGGTAAACGGAGCTGGATAACAGCACTTCTCTGCCCTCAACCTCTAGAAGCACATTCTTTAAGCCTCTGTCTCAAAGAGTGAGCCCCTTGCACCCTCCTGAGCAACCAAGTGCAGACGGTTCCAAGCAGCAGCCTGCCTGCAGCCCCAGCAGAATTACAGTGCCTGTAAGGGTTGGGGCTTTAAACCGCTGTAGTTTGTTGTACTGCCCAGTGCTGGAGAGGTGATCAGTGCAGCTGCATCTGGCAGAAACAAGCCAAGAGCCTCACAACGCTCCTCAGTTCAGCTGCCTGCCTCACCAGACAGGCAGTGTTTTGCTCTCCTGAAGCCTGGGAAAAGCAAAGTCAGCTCATGCTTTCTGCTGGTTTACGTTTATTTGGGTTGGGTTTGCTTTTTTGTGTGTAAGGTTTAGCTCTTTAACTCGCTCTCGTTTGTCTTCATTAAAAGGTAATGCTTCAGAAAAGAGGCACACGTTGCCTAAGTAAAGATGGGAAATTAGATTCAGTACTTGGACTGTCTCTGCAGGAAGGAAATTGGCAGAAGCCAAGCTGTGACTGGGTTTTATTGAGCAGGAAGCATCTCTATATTTTTTGAGGTTAATTAAGGGTTACTGCACACGTCCTTGTGGAAATGGAATCCTGAACTTCCTCACGAACAAAACAACCACCAAACAACAACCTGGGTACGAGGAGACTGAAACTTCACAGCAGCACGTACCAGAAGGTTTCCAAGGAGCCTGTAGCATCACCAAGGGAGCACTCACCTCATCAAAGACAGCCCTAGTAACATCACCACATCGCAGGCTTTCATTGCTCACAGACAGCAAGTGAGCAGGGTTGAATGGAGAAAATTGCATACAGCTGATCGGGTCATTGTGTGCTGTGAAGGCATGTGCTCCTTCTTCAGCTCTGCAGCTCTGAAACACAAGTGAGATCCAGTGGACAGGGGTGCTAATCACAGTGCTATTTCTGTTCACTGCTGCAGCTTCCAAAGTAAAGCCTCTGTTTCCCAAAGGTGCTCCAGTCTGCCCACGTAACAGCAGTGGAGGATGCAGCAGGGTGCCCAGTGTGCAGACAGACACGTAGGACAGAGTGGGGATGGAGTGGCAGGACAAGGAGGAAGGGCTTTAAGCTGACAGAGGGGAGATCTGGTGCTATCCATTGGAATGGGGAACCATGAGCCTGCCAAAAGGACGCTCCAGGCTGTGCCCCATCCACACCCATCCCGCAGCAAACAGCTCTGCAGGTGAAGAGCACGCGAGCAACTCACCACATTCCAGAGACCGATCTGCCCACACCTGTCTCCAGCTGCCACCAAGATAATGCTTTCTGAAGGATGAATAGCTATGGAACACACTCGGTATTTCACCACCTTTTTAATGTTATCTTCACT